TCAAAACAGTGGTCTTATGATTCTTATCCCATTCTCAGCCTTCTCACTCTCTCTTAGTTTCCATCTTTCTGTTGAGATATATGTTATCTTTCCAGGACATACTGGTAGCTTTCCTGTCTCAACCTTTCCTCAATGTGTCCCAGCCCCACCTCTCCAGTGAATGTCCATCTGTCCCTAGTCCAAAACCTATGATGTGTGTACATGGGTGTACCAAGACAGAAGACACCCCTTCCATCCCTATCACCGCCACCAGTTTTTCCTGACATCTCTATTCCTATTCAAAGATTCACAGAGGAAAGGAAAAAGCTAAGATGGTGAGGCACATGGCACCTTCTGAACGCAAGGCAATGACACTTTGGCGTTCAGAAACTTTTACTTCAACTAGGAGGTAATGAAACATACTGAGAAAAACCTCCCAAGTTAAGTGCCTTGGTTATAGACTCTCGCTCTGCTATTTATTACCTATCTCTTATCTTGGGCAACTCATTTCTCCATCCAAACCTTAGGGTCCCCAAGGAAACAGTGAAGATGATGATTACATTTAACTTACGAGATAACACACATGAAACATGCTTTATATACTATGCCATTCACTTCTTTCCCTTGTATATTCAACATGATTACGCTTCCCTGTATTTCCTAGTATGGCCTTAGAAATAACTTTAAAACTCTGTAAGCTCTTTTGATAATCAGATTTTACATATGTATAGCACCCACTATAGTTTAGTACATGGTAGTTATTACTATTGATGAAGTCCCACATAAGTAGTTATTTTAATTATGATGGATTCTCATTATGAAAATCTGTTCCTGTCTCAGCACTCCAAAGTTGTTGACCTTTCTGGTGTCCACTGTCTTTGGCAAATACATATCTGTTTTGCACACTTTCTATCATTAGAGTGGCTCTGATGAGAGCTGGTAGAGAATACAAGGCAAAAGGTTGCAAATGTGGATGAAAGGCACACACACACACAAATAATAACTGAATATTTCCTGAGTCCTGTTGATTTATAATAAAGTATACATGTTATCATTGTGGTTGTTAAGTGCTGTCAAGCTGATTACAACTCATTGCGATCCTATGTAGGGTTTCCAAGGAGCAGCTCATGGGTTTGAACTGCTGACCTTGTGGTTCGCAGTCTAGTGCTGATCCTACAGTGCCACACCAGGAATCCAGTATACATATTAAAGAATGAAAAATAATTATGGAAAGTTTAGGCAAGGTCCAATCCTTGTATTTTTCTTATCTTTGCTTAATAAACAATAAATTTCTTGGTTGAATCTACTGAAACCAACAAAACAAAAATCCAGGCATTCCTGGAGCTCTTGAAGCAGAACGGTCGTGGATTCTGGCCCATTCCAATCATTAACCACTAGGCTCCCAGTACAGCGCGTCCTGGGGCTGCCCATGAAATGAAATAGTAACTTGAAGAACACCAGGAATACATTTTGGACCACTTGGTTTACAGTTTTACTTACATCACATTCCCCTCTATACTATGATTCCAAAGGCTTAACTCAGTTTTTCTTCCTTCTGATGGCATGAAATTAAGAAAGGGCTAAATACAGGGTTTTTGTTTTTTTTAACTTGAAATATGGAATTGGATTTCTACTAGTCTAGTTTTCCTCTTGCGACCAGTTTTTGTCTTATTACAAAGCCCTCTCTTTTTATTTTCACACTGTTCTCTAAATAAGGAGTGTGGTGGCTCTTTAGGGTAAGCACTGGACTGCTAACCACAAGGATGGTAGTTTCAACCCACAAGCCACTTCATGACAGAAAGATGAGGCTTTCTGCTCCTGTAAAGATTTACAGCCTTGGAAACCTATACATGGTTGCTATGAGTTGGAATCAACTCAACGGCGCTTAACAACAACAACCCTCAATAAACCAGTAGTGTGTATATGTGTGTTGCTATCAAAGAATAGTGGTAGCATGGAGTTGCTTGAGTATTAAAAAGAAAAGGGTACTAACAAGGGATGTTTAGGCCAGGAGAGAATAGCAAAGAATCAAAGACTATTTCTGACTGAATACAGGTGAGATTAGTAATAAGCAAGAAATTCCAAGCCCTCAAAATCTCCATAATTTCCTAGGTGGTTGGAATCTATCTTCTCAGAATGATGTTGGATGATGGCAATGGTGGTGGTGATTTGAAGGAAGGAAAGAATAAAGAATAAATTCAAGTTATTTTAGTTTAAATTCAAAACTGATTAAAATACTTATAATCACCTTCTAAGAAACCAAAGATCATACTTCTTTACAAATGGGTCACTAGGCTTAAAAATAAGGTGTCTTAGGGCTTCTAATGCTATGTGGAGTTAGTATGGCTAAGTTCTGGGAGAAATGATGTTCATTCCCAATGCTACAATCCCTGTAAGCAAGGACTACATCTGTCTAGTTCACTACTTGGCCCCTCCTCTACAACAGTGCTTGACACTCAGAAATGTTTGTTAAATGCATGAATAATTCCCCATCTCATCATCTCTCTAGGTTCCATATATAAAAAGATATTTGGACCAAGTCAGGTATAAAGTACTTTAAGCTTGGAAAGCTTATAGTTCTGAAACTCCATCAGCTGACAGTATTGAGTGACCAAACCTACTCTTCACAAATATATCAGTACCATTTATACTGTATGACACTCCTCAGACCTCTGCTGCCAACCTTATTTTCACTTGCCTTTTATTTATTAAGAGTTCTGGTGTAATGCTGCAGGATAAGCACTGGACTGCTAACCACAATGTTGGTGGTTTCAACCCATCAACCACTCCTTGAAAACCCTATACCAGGTCACTCTGAGTCGTAATAGACTAGACAGTACTTAACAGCAATACTATGTTTATTAGCAACAAATAGTGCATATCCCAGATGATGGCTTTCACTTGAATTGAGTTTAATTTACATATAGTGATGCTATGACTTTCTGCTGTAGCTCAAACTAGCCATGCTCCAACTTTGGATTTAAAACAAGAACTTAATTAATGCAATCTCTACCACTCCATTGGACTCGGGGCCTCCATTGGCTTCCTAAGCATTAATCCCATGTCTCTCAAGGTCATTAGGCTGTTCAGGTCCCTAATAGCATAAATATGTAGTCATAATACAAACACAAAACTAAACATGTCCAATTCTTCCTAGACACAACTGGATTAGAATTAGCACAAAGATTTCATGGTTTTAGAGAACTGGTACCTGACTTGCTCAAGAAGTTCTCAATGTACTAGAACCAATAAGACTTAGTGACTTAGCATAGCTCCTCTCTCAGGAGTAATTTAAATGTTTTGTTTTTTTTTTTTAAACCTTTTATTTGGAAACATTTTCAAACTTACAATAATTAAGAGTAAGAATAGTACAGAGAACACGTATATTCCCGTTCCGTATTGTTAGCATTCTGCTCCTTTTTCTGTTCACACACTAGCGAACTTTCATAGACACATGCTTGTATTCATGTCTATATGGTTCTTTCTGATCCACTTAAAGCTAAGTTGCACATACGATGGTCATCTATTCCTAGATAGGAAGTATTTACTTTTAAAAACAGAACAGCATGTCAAATATAAAAGTTTGTCAATGCCCAAGATAGTATTTCAAGGATAGCAGCTGAACAGTATGAGAAATCTGGTCAGGCTGAGTTTCTATCACTCCTACATGGTCAACTCTTTTTATTCATGAGGTTGGCCTTGATCCCAGCCCAAGAATAAACAAAAACACACATCTATTTTATTTTAGAAGGAGAAAAAAAGATGATTAGAAGTTACTACCAAAGTAGACAACAGCTAGAGTCCATTTTCTTCTGAGAAAACCACAGACTGATGTGAAGGTTGGAAATTTGGCTGTAAGAGGGAATTTCAAACAGCTCATGGAAAAATTCCATGATCTTCTAATTCCATTTTTCCACAAACTTTTTGAAGCCTCCTCATATGCAAAAGGAATTCTCCCAGAGGGCTGTGCTGCAGACACAAGCTACTTTCAAAGACACATCTTCTGCTTGTAAGCTTATTAGAACGTTCCTGTTTTCCCTGCACTTAAAACATACTATCACAGAAGTCCTAAAACAAGATGGAAAGGACTACTCACTATCTTTCTTGTTGTTAAAACCTCAGAATGCAACAGTCGCCACCTGCTAAAACTTGCTGAGGATGGCACGGTGGTATTACTCAGGGTACCTCAGCTATGCCCAGAAGACCAACTGGCTCATTGCTTCCCAAGTCCAACACTGACAACAAGAGTGAAGCGTACATGGATTGTGTGTGGGGGGGGGTGGGGTGGGGTGGGAACACAAACAAACGATGCAATGCACTCCATTATTAATCACTCTACAGCTAAGTGGTTCTTCATTCTTTAGCAGTAAAGGATTTTGGTTACATGTTAATTACAGTTAATAAACTTTTCTAACATATAATTGTATGCCCTGGAGATATACAACCTTTCTTGTTGAAAGAATTTTATATATAAAAAAATAGTTTCTTATGATATCTATAAGATCAGTAAAACAGTATAAAGTAAAAAGAACAATTTTCTTAGATGTAACACATTAGAAACAATCCAACCGTATTTGGAAATGAAAACACAGAAATGCAAAAGCTGGGTGTTGAATGTATGTGTGGAGCCCTGCAAATCCCACAAGCATTGGCAATGTTTAAATCAACAAGACTCTTTATTGTCAAGGTAACTCCAAGGTAACTATGAATAATTGGTTCCAAAACATTTACCTTGTACTAAACTGCCTTTTTTCTTTTCTTTTTTTTTTTTTAATGAGAATTGCACATCCATAATACAAACCAAAGTAAGACTCAAAGCGAAAGGAAAACAAGGTGAAGTACATTTACCTCAGAAGCCTATATGTGAAGTATTTATGTAGAGAGCTTTAGAAAGAAAGACTCGTATAAGCACGTACTTCATCAGAAAGCAGGCTGGCAAAGTAACAAGGAAACGAAAGGTAAGAATATGAAGATGCCTGGCTTGTCTCCTCTGGAGTGAAATAAAAGCCACAATGTTCTACCTTGTTTCGACGCCCTTCGCCGAATCTTCATTTTGGGAAAGGAAGGCCACGAGTAGTTAAAAGGTGAGTCTGAATCAGAATCCATCTTTGTGTTTGGGTGAAATCAGCAGATTAACCAGCAGCGAGTCAGGAAGAACTCTGGGCGTCCCAGCCAGGAGGCAAGTCTCCCCGTGTGATGTAAAAGGAAGGAATGAGGCTGGATGAAACAGCTTGCTGGTGAACACCGGAGAGGGAGAGGGAGAGGCAATAAATGTTTTGCTTCCTTCAGGCGTTCAGGCATGTAGACAGAGAAGGAGGCTGTAAATATTAAAGCCAAACTAGGGAAGTAGAAGAGGGAGAGAGAGGGAGCTAAGCATCAGGCTGATACACTGCAGTCCAGTTATTCAAAAGGTCATTGGGAGCAAATGAATCATTAACTCCCCTTTCCATGTTGCTGGAAATGGAAATGAAGAAGGAAGGTAACTGGGAATTGAAAGAAAGCCGCCTGTGATTTGAGAAAAGCCTTCAAATGCAGGCGCTTGTTTTGCTCTGGGATTTGGAGTATGGCTTCTCAGAAAAGCCCCCCATGTGCAGTGTTAAATAAAGGTTGATGTTTATGTGTGTAGACAGCCAGAAAGTGTGAAACACAGGCAAAGAAAGGACATCATGCCCAGGGCAGGCCTCTTTCCACAGCAATCTATTCGTTCATACCATTGGCAGTTGGGGCAGCTTTTCGGATCCAGGAGCCCAAACACTCTGATACTTATTTAACAATCCATTCTCCTCATCTTTTTAACCCTTGAGCTGTGAAAGTTATAAACTTTTCTACAAAATTACAGTCATCACATGAGATGCATACAATATCCACTGCTATCTAGCATTTTTCTTAATATCTCACCAAGTTTGGCTGACAATCATCAAGACTTTACATCACCATTACAGCTCTGATCTAAGCTTTCTGCCCATTTCAACAGAGCTAGTGACTAATTTACCACAACCATCAGTTTTTACCCAGTCTCCCTGAACAACTCTCTGGTAATTAGCATTCAGGGGAATAGCCCATTACTGCTTCCCCACAAACTGTGATCAAACGAACTTCCCTGCTCCCTACAGGCACACACAGACACGTGCCCCCAAATAAGCTTCAACACAGCAGCCAATATCTGTGGGAGAAAAGGTATATCCCACATCTCATAAAGAGTATCTTTTTGGCCTTTCTTTTCAGAGTAATGATACAGAAAGGAATATTGTACTTCCTGAGGTCACCTACCCCCCAAGTCAAAAAAAGACAAGTGGAACTAGGTGGGTCCATTAATCTGCGCAGATTTGGAACATGATGATTTGTATCTAATTAACACTCACCTGTCTATTTAAATCGTTTATCAAATTGGTGGCACTGTTATGCCATGCTGTGTAACGGAACAGCCACCGACCCCACTCTATGTATGACTGGACAGGGCTGGGATGAAAGGAGCAGACAGAAGTGGAGAAAGTAGGAAGCCCACTTCATTACAAATGCAAAATGAAATCAGAAGAGCATAACTCACTACTGTCTTTTTTTATGGTTTGCTAAACAAACAGGATATACAACTAGAATGAAATACAGTTAGAATATAGTTGTAAGCATCACATTCAAGTGAAAACAAATATCAATATGTTTTCTACTTTGAGAAATAATTATATATTTTTTAAAATCATCTGGGTGTAAATGCAAGAATGAATTACTCCCAATCCTTACAAGTAGGAGAGTTTTAGTCCATGCTTTTTAACAGGAAAATGCACAAAGCTCATGTGGATATGTGTTTTAATTAATTCTCAGTTTTAGGGCCTAGAACAGTGCCATCATACACATCTGTTGAATAAACGATTAAATGAATTATAGTATTAGATCTCAACCCATACATGAAGAACCTTTCCTTGATTTGCTGCTGCTTTGGAGCCAGTTCCAATTGATAGCAACCTTATGCACAACAAAACAAAATACTGCTTGGTCCTGCATCAACCTCACAGTCATGATTATGCTTGAGCCTACTGTTGCTGCCACTGTGTCAGTGAAGCTCACTGAGGGTCTCCCTCTTTTTTGATGATCCTCCACTTTACTAACTATAATGTCATTCTCCAGGGACTGGTCCCTCCTAATTACATGTACAAAGTGTGAGAGATAAAGTCTGGCTATCTTGGCTTCCAAGGATCATTCTGGCTGTACTTCTTCCAACACAAATGTATTTGCTTTTCTGGCAGTCCATGGTACTTTTAATATTCTTCTTCAACCCAGTAACTCAAATGCAACAATTCTTCTGTGCCTTTCTTATTAATTGGTGACTTTCCATGCACATAAGGCTACTGAAAATACCATGGCTTGGGTCAGGTGTGCCTTAGACATCAAACAGAAATCTTTGCTCTTCAACACTTTAAAGTGGTCTTTGTGCAGCAGATCTGCTTAGTAGAATACATCATATGATTTCTTGACTGTTTCCATGAGTCAGGGTGATTGGTCCAAGCAAAATGAAGTCTTTGATAACTTCAATCTTTTCGCCATTTATCTTGATGTTATTTATTCCAGTGGTGAATACTTTTGTTTTCTTTACATTGAGATGAAACCCATACTGAAGACTGTGGTCTTTGATCTTCATTAGTAAGTACTGTAGATCCTCTCTGCTTTCAGCAAGCAAGGTTGTTAATGAGTCTTCCTCTAATCCTGATGCTACATTCTTCTTCATATAATCCAACTTCTTGGATTCTTTCCTCAGCATGCAGACTGAATAAGTATAGTGAAAGAACACAATCCTGGCATACATCTTTCCTGGTTTTAAACCATTTGATGTCTCCTTGTTATGTCTGAAGGACTGCCTCTTGATCTATATACAGGTTCTTCATGAGAACAATTAAGTGTTTTGGAATAATCATTCTCTGCAATATTGTTCATAGCTTGTCATGATCCAAACAGTCAAAGCCTTTGCATTGTCAATAAAGCACAGGTAAACATCTTTCTGGTATTCTCTGCGTTCAGTCAAGATCCCTTTGAAATCAAATGCAAATCAAATTACAAGATCCCTTTGTAATGATATCCCTCATTCAACGTTCTCATTTGAATCTGGATTGAACCTCTGGCAGTTCCCTACAATGGATTGCTGCAGCCATTTTTTAAATTCTCTTTAGCAAAATTTTACTTGCATGTGATATTATACTGTCCAATGATTTCCACATTCCACTGGGTAACTTCTTTTTGGAACTGGCATAATTGATAGCTTTAGTATTCTTAGTATCTGTGGTTAAAAATTTTTATCCTGACAAATATGCTGCAAAGAAAGATCCTTGCAATATAATTAAATATATTTGCATTTCATTAGTCACAAGTCTCTACGTACCTTTGAAACCAGTGGATTCCAACTCATAGCAACCCTGTATGACAGAGTATAACTGTTCCTTAGGGCTTCTGAGGCTGAAAATCTTTACAGGAGCAGACAGCCTCAGCTTTCTCTCCAAGGAGCTAATGGATTTGGACTGCCAGCCTTGTGGTTACCAGCAGAATGATTAACCCACGACACCACAAGGGCTAAGTAAGTAGTTATGTTCCAAGAAAACGCCACTGCTCCCTGAGACTACAGGCAATGTTTGGGATGTTCACAGATCCACCTCCAAATTATCTGTCAGTAAAAGAAGGGACTTCTACCAATGTGGACAGTGACTAAACAGAAATCACAGTGTTGGGTCAAGAGATATCATCTTTCTTAAAGCTGTACCCCTAAAGGATCCTTTATTTGCAAAGTTTCCAAATAGATTAGAAATATTGAAGTCCTCATCTAAACTGGTGATGATTTTTATAGTTCCTTGCTTTACTAAAGGTGTAGAGCCACGATACTTATGTTTTCCTAACACTATGGGAAGAATAAGGAGCTTTGGTGGTACTAGAGGTTAAGTGTTGAGCTGCTAACTATAAGGTGGATGGTTCAAACTCCCCAGCTGCTCCATGGGAGGAAGATGAGGCAGTCTGCTCTCATAAATATTTACACTCTTGGAAACCCTATAGAGCAGTTCTACTCTGTCCTATAGTATTGCTATTAGTCAGAATTGACAGGATATCTGTGGGGGTTTCTTTGGGTATGGGAAAGATGTGGACACAGTTTTGTTTTGTTTTGTTTTGTTTTAATTGTGACAAATATTACAGATAAGATCACCAGTTTTACAATCAACATCTCAATGATTGCGATCCTCTCCCTGCAACAAGTTATCTCCCTGCCTCCCTGAAGTGGCCCATGTACAAAATCCTCTTTCAAACTCTTTCATATGTGTGAGATATATAAAGAAATCTATATACCACTCTTCCTCCCATACCCATTCAGCCTATGTCTATATCCATGTACCTACACACTGTTGTTCCAAGGTTGTACATATATATATCACTATAATTCACCTCTATCAACTATCAACACTCATGGAAGCAGCAGTCAAGAAATCAAACGACGTATTGCATTAGGCAAATCTGCTGCACAAGACCTTTTTAAAGTGTTGAAGAGCAAAAATGTCAGCTTTAGGACTAAGATGCACCTGACACAAGCCATGGTATTTTCAGTAACCTCATATGCATGTAAGAGCTGGACAGTGAATAAGGATAACCATAGAAGAATTGATGCTTTTGAGTTATGGTGTTGAAGGAGAATATTGAAAGTGCCATGGGCTGCCAAAAGAACCAACAGATCTGTGTTGGAAGAAGTGCAGCCAGAATGCTCCTTGGAGGCCAGGATGGCCAAACTTCATCTCTTATACTTGGGACATATTTTCAGGAGGAACCCTTTGCTGGAGAAGGATATCATGGGTGGAGGGTCAGAGACAAAGAGGAAGACCCCCAGTGAGATGGATTGGCAAAGTGGCAGCATCAATGGGCTCACGTGTGGCAACAATTGTGAAGTTAGCCCAGGCCCAGGCAGTGTTTCGTTCTGTTGTGCACAGGGTCACTATGAGTCGGTACCAACTCGAAGGCACCTAACAACAACAACAATCCCCTTTAACCCTTTCATACCTTCCTGTGTCTTCACTTATCTTCATCATTCTACCAACTTTTCTTTTCTTGTATATTGTCCTTCCTATCACCCGAGTTAACAAATG